AATCAAATAAAATTTTTACTCTTCTCACAGCTATACTAGCGGATATTTATGATGAACTCACCGCCGACTACCAGCGCGCTTTAGAAGCCACACAATCGGTGCATGAAGTAGAGGAGATGACTGGTGCAGATGCGCCCTTGCAGCCCGACTTACCACTTTTACCTTGGAAACCCCGTCAAATCTCTGCTAAGCTTTTAGAGCTTGGTCTGGTTAGTAACAGAGCTGAGTTTGGAAAGTATCCCAGGCGCCTTGACCGTCAGCCTTCTCGAGATCGGAAGCATATACGGCGCTCGCGCCTAGAATCAGATCCTGGCAATAGCTTATCGGACGCTAATCAGACTGAAATCAGGACCAGCGAGGATTCGGATGAATTCCAAGGGTCTGAAATTATTAGAAGACCTCTTCTTAGATCAGGAAGTAAAGCAAAATCAAGGGTTCATGTTAAGCGTCGGCGACGGGATAATTTGGAAGCCGAGTCGGAAATAGTCAGCTCCTTGAAGAGTGATGAACGTGTAGAAGAGGATGAGGATGATATGCCTCTTGCAGCTTTGTCTATCCTTGCAGAGTCTGATCGTATATCAAGTAACAGGTATGAGAGATTTATTTTAACGTCATTAGCGCTCTTGCTACGCTTAAATCTCACAATGCTAATTTTTCTTAATGGTTTTAACTAATGGCAATTTAGATAGAGCCACTTTTGAGATTAACTAATTTAATAAGTAATTTCTTAAGTACATAGTTTACTTCTAATTTGTCAACTCTAAAATAATAGAAAGAGGGATATTAAAACAATGTCAAAGGGTATACAATTGTTTTTCATGCATATATTTCATGTTTTTATAGTATGCTTTTTCATATTCAAGTTCTTACGAAAGTTTTCTAATAGTTTATTAACGTCTCTGTTAAGGTGACCCTGTTTAACTATATAGAAACGGAGCTTTTGTGGCGATAAATGAGAAGGATTGTATTAAGAAGATTATCAATGCTCTTAAACCTTTATACTCACAAAAATTACAAGCTAATAAGTGACTTCATTAGTATTTTTGTAACCCTACTCGACATTTTGTACAGCACCCTGATTGAATGTTGGCTTGTAAGATGGAAAATAGGACATGTAAAGGATACTATATAGAGTAGATGTACAGGGTTGCGTAAGTAGCTTAGATTTACTTCGTTTTTGAGAGTTTGTCCAACAATTCTGAGCTGATGAGCCCTGTTCTGCAGAATGGGCATGCAATATTGGGGCTTGGTAAAGTCGGTCTCTGAGGTACAACGTCAGAGTCCGAACTTTGTTATTTTTTGATAGCCTAGTGCCGAGCGTAGTTGGGCGCTAAGAAAAAGCGCAATGACCCTTGTCCTGTTTTTAATACTTAGCTTGGAGTGTTATTCTAACGTGAGCCTCCATTCTCCGAAAGCCAAGTCTCGGGTTTCTGCACGGTCGGCAAGTTGAGCTGATACATTGCTGTTGGAGCTATGTTCGTGATACGGCAAAAGCGCCATATTGCAGTATTTTTCAGCTAAGTTCTCTTCCAAATATATTATCTGCGACTTGTGTAAATCAGCTTCTCATTGATTTTTGACAGCTGTTTTAATTTTAGGCATAGTTCGGAGTCTGGCAAATTTGTTTATTGACTTATATCAGGTCCTTGAGGGAGGTGATTGACAATAAATCAAGCCTGGAAGTAATGATTTTAGGCTATCTCATAAATTTTCTGGGTGCTAGACACATAATCTGATGAGTGAGATTTGGTGCATCAAATGGTACATTGATACCAATTAAATGTGCCGATACACCATTCCTAGGGTATCAGTTGACTACTCGAGAACAAAGAACCGAATTAAGAACTAGGTCCAGAGTCGCATAAAGGAGAGTTGGACTAAACCACTATAGTGTCTAGTCATGATTTGTAAAAAGAAGATGAAGATAAGATTTACGACGTACGCGTGCTCATCTATTTGTGTATATATGCGCGTGGGTATAGAAACCTAGTGATTATTTTTAATACTCAGAACAAAGATCTACGATTAATTAATATTTCTGACCATATTGTGACCCGAATTCCAAGTGCGAGAAACCTTAGACCTAATTCTATGAATGAAGACGCGAGAATTTAGTGACTAAGAGTTATAGATATACGGAGCGTGCATCTTGAGGTAGTGTTGTATTCGGAGCTCCTTAGATGGTTGAAAGGACGTTAGAAAAGCATACAACCTGTGTATTATATTATCTA